AAATCAATGTTTAGTTTATTTATTTTTAAGGGAGAAATTTTAGTTATGTACATTCTCAGTGTTGTCTTTGCTAGATTTATATTTTTAACCACGTCTGTTGTGAGATATCAACTCACTAAAGACAATTGGTGAACGGTTGCTCAACTTTGTGGATTGGTTGAGGTTAGACGTTAACACCGTTGGATGTTGGCTCAGTGGTCTATCGGTTAAGTGCTCTGGCGTGAGACTGGGTTCGAATCTCGCGAGTGTGGGATCGTGGATGCGCACTGCTGAGGAGTCCCACAATAGGTCGAGGTGGTCGTCCAGTGCTTGCAGGTTTTCCTTGGTGGTCTAGCTTCAATTGACTCACGCTTTCAACTATGAAAATATTAAATCTCCACAAAAACCCCTTCTGATCATATATATATATATATATATATATATCATTTCCGTGAAAAAAACCCAGATTAGAAATGGGAGATAATTTATGTAAAATTACTGAAGCATTTGAAATAATTATTTAAATGACCAACTTCAGTTAGTATTTGATTGTTCATATATGGAATTGAAAGAAAAAAAATTTCCTTTCACTGAATTTTTTGTCATAGTTCAATATTAATTTAAAGGGAGTTAGAGTTGGTTAAAAGGAAATTGTGGATCTAGATTTCCTGCTTGCTGATGATCGTAAACGATACATATCTGGAATGCTGAGAGAACCGATGTCTTCAGCTGGTTTCAAACTTGGGTTGCTCAACTTCATAAACAGAGACATTTGCTACGAATCTATTTGAATCACGACTGGTCTACTGTAGTTCTGATATATTCACAGCTGATTGATGACTTAGTCATGATTAATGTAGTGTTTGTTCAGTCGGTTCTCTGAGCTGAATGGTTTGTTCAGTCTATTGATAGGGTTCTTCTGTCAGCTATCACTTAACACTTTACATGGAAACATATTGTACTTTATGATGAGTTATTTGGACTAGTGGGTAAAATGCAATCCAGTCAGAATTATAGACCAGACAAACATGACATCAGTTACCAGTTAGGTAACAATCAGTGTAATTAATTTATTGTTTCACATTTAATTGTACAAATCTAGACTGATTCAATGACTGGAAGTAAATCCATCATCATCATGATAATAATATAATAATAATAACAATAAGTGCCTGACTTGGGGCCCAACTAGTTAATCACGAAGACTGACCATATAGGTATACAGATATTAGAAAGCAAATTTAATTGTCAGTTAGTTTTGAGCTATGATGAAGTGTTAATTGTGAAAGGAAATATACTTTTATCCCAAAGTAAAAATAATCTCTATGGGGATGACCATGCCTATTTCATTAATAAAACATGCATGCACATAAACACATACATGTACAATCTCAACCCAATACTAGTCTGCATTCAACCATCATTAAAAACTTGCAAGCACTGGACTTCCGTTCTTTTCTAACATGGAACTCCTCGGCAGTGTGCATCTATGATCCTTCACGCTAGACTCAAACCCAAGACCGTTTGTCTAGCTCCTAAACCTAACATTTAAATCACTGAACCAGCATCTAACAATGTTTATCTCTAACTTCAACCAGTTCACGAAATCTCCTCACACTCGACACGGTTGAATTCCATTGGCCACTGCTTATTTATTCACAAAAAACATTCTATTGTGCCTATAGCAATCATTGTGACTATTTTGTATTTGTAACTTATAAAGAGAGAGATAGATAGATAGAAAAAACGTTTGACTGAAAATCTGACAGCAATAACCCTATAATTCATAAATCAAACAAATAACAACATTATTCCAATTCATATTTTATACTTATTTTTTTTCTTTCTTTCAACGTTACTTTCACAATTGATCGAATCACATTGAAAGTGGTAGTATATGAGGGTGGATGGGTGGGTAGGATGTTAGCACGATTAGTTAATAGTCGGTTATACAGAATCAGAGACATGTTGATCAATTCCCTTCACTATAAATCCAGAATTATTAACGAATATTTGTTTCCTTTGTCCTTAAGTGTTCTACTAAAAACATACATGTAAACTAAAAATGGTCAGAATTAGGAATAGTAATAATAATAATAATAATTGTAATGTTTATTAAAAGTAATCTATTCATAATCAAAATGTCAGCAATACATTAATTCTCTTTTGATTAATTCACAAGCTATTAATTAATTCAGTATAGTAGATTTAAACATTAAGCATTACATAAATTATAATCATAATATGACCTGGACAACATTTAGAAAATAGAATGTTATTTTTTCTAACTGTTTTGTTTTTCTAAACTAAACTGTTTAATATATATATATAGTTGAAATCATTAGTCAATTGAAGCTAGACCACCAAGGAAAACCTGGGAGCACTGTTTGACGGCCGTTTCGTCCTATTGTGGGACTCCTCAGCAGTGCGCATCCACGATCCCGCACTCGCGAGATTCGAACACACAGCACTTAACCGGTTATGTGCTCTGATGCGTAACTGGTAGATCCTGGGTTCGAATCTTGTGAGGTGAGATCGTGGATGAGCACTGATGAGGAGTCCCACAGTAGGACGAGGTGGCTGTCAAACAGTGCTTCCAGGTTTTCCATGATGGTCTAGCTTCAATCAATTCATGATTTCAATTATCTATAAAGAATTACTAAAAATCTTCACAAAAAACCCCCTTAGACTGTTTAATGTTCAATATATAATAAGTAGAAATATGTTCCAGTGAAATATTATGACAACAACATTAATTTTTTTTTTTAAAAAAAACATTTTTTTGCAAATGTACAATTTAATTAAAATTCAATATTTAATTGAATTAATAAATGTTGTTTTAGGACATTAAGATAATTTAATTTGCTTTTAGCTTCCCATTGTTATTTAGGATTGCACTTGATTAGTCTCTTAATGGCATATGTGCATCCTATGCAAATTGCCTCAATATTGTGTGAAGTCGCAAGCTTTATAAGTAAGGATGGTTGATGGCTAGCAATAGAATCCAAGAAGCAAGTTTTATTCTATTTGGGACTCATCAGATGGGTGTACCTGCATCTCAAAGTTGTTCACTCCGTGACCTGAACCTTCGCCTATAAAGCCTGTAACTGAAAGAAATATCGAGGAAATACACACAATATGCTCATATGGCAACAAGAGACTGATCATTTGCAGTTCTAATTAACAATGGGAAGATACAAGTGAATAACAACAAGTGAATTTAAACTTTAACACATCGCACAAACATGTGGCTATCACGACTCAGAGTAGCTAAGTGGATAACGCGATAACGTCTGAAGCGAACGGTACTGGGTTCGAGTCCCAGAGTGAACATCATCTCTTAGATGCAGGTATATCCAGCTGACCAGTCCCAAATAGGATGAAACGCGCGTCCTTAACTCCACTGCTAGCCACTATCCATCTTTAACTTAAAAGTATGTTAATATTGTATTAAGAGATAAAAAGAAAGATATTTGAAGAATTTTTTCTATTTAATTTTAAGTAAGTTTCTATTTGATATAATCATTGAAAACGGATACTTATAACAGAACAACCTAAGATTTGCGCGATAATATCAAGAAGATGAAAACTAATGAAAAATGTGAATTCTGTCTACTCTCACTTATTCACTAAATGGATTTACTTTTATATAGAATGTAGCGACATTTGATGACTAACTAATAAATATCAGAAGGGGTTTTTGTGGAGATAGGAACTCACTAAAGACAATTGATGAACGGTTGCTCAACTTCGTGGATTGGTTGGAGTTAGACATTAACACCATCGGATGTCGGCTCAGTGGTCTATCGGTTAAGTGCTCTGCCACGAGATTGGTAGGTCCTGGGTTCTAATCTTGAGAGGCGAGATCGTGGATGAGCACTTCTGAGGAGTCCCATAATAGGACAAAATGGCCGTCCAGTGCTTCCAGGTTTCCCTTGGTAGTCTAGCTTCAATGAACTGATGCTTTCAACTATGATAATAAATATCAATTATAAACTAAATAGTGAGAAAATGTTTTTTTAGGGGATGTTATTACTGAAGGATATTAACACTAAATTAATATAAGGGAATGTTATACTGAGTAAATGTTACACTGAATGAAAACATGATCTTGTATGTTGTCCTATCCTAACACTTTTACACAATGACATTAGATTATTTTATTGCAACTAGTAATGAACAGAGATGCTTTGTCTTAGTTCGATATCCCTCAGTAGTATGTGAATATAAGATATTAAGTGACACTAAACTTATGACTTTCAGATCTTTTAGGGAACAAGTTATATTCACCACCACAAAGTATGAAATTTTGATCATTAAAAATTTCAACTACAGTCGACTTGCGATACTCGTGTGGATAAAGAGTGAAGATAATTGATATGGTGTTGTGGCTGAAAAAGAAATAAACTCGAATCTTGGTTTCATTAGTTTACATCATGGACTAGTCTTAGTCAAACAACTACTGAAAATCAAGTAGTTATAATGCAGAACTCACAGTGTACACCCGTGATCCCACTTGGAATTGAAACATAACATCGAAGTCTTATAGTAAGCAATGAACATTCAAATCACTGAGTCAACTTCTAATAATAATTATTTATTGCCATAAAGTTCAATAATCTTCTCAAACTAGCCTAAATCGAGAGCTAATTCTCGGTGATGTAATGAGAAGACATATTGGATGTAATTCAGTTACCCAGTATTCGAATCGGATAATGGTTCTAGGATAGTGCAATTTCTATGGAGTTAGAAATATAAACCATGAAAAACCTGCTCAACAATCTAAAGGCTGAACACCCACTATGAGAGCTGAAAGTCTTCGGTTCGGTTCGAAGTGAGGTCATAGATGTACACTGTTCACAGTTCTCATAATGGAACGAAATAGATACTAGGTGTTTCTCAGTTATCAATGATTATCCAATTAAGATCATTTCATGATATAAACTGTTAGTTTATAAGACAATCTGCTAATTTCCTTCAATTTATGTTACCCATTTTTTTCTTATTTTAATTCAATTTAGATCCATCAAGAAAATCGGGTGATTATGGAATATGCAGTGCCATTTTGATTATAATTTCATACTTATTCATTATTATTACATTTCCTTTCTCGCTATTTTTCTGTATTAAAGTAAGTTAATTTTTATAGAATTAATTTCTGTAAATAATACAGCGTTATTACAGTTTTTGTGCTTAATTTTATTTATTTCGAGATGATGGAGAAGATTTGTTGCTGAGGTGGGTGATTTTGATGGAGTTTTGTTCTGTGAGCTGGATGATTTCGTCGTGAAGTTTTCATCGTCCTCCTGAACGACATCATCAGCAGCACAAACTTCGGGTGGAAGTGAGGTGTTTGTTTATTTCATACTGACCAGTACTGAGCTATGTATTTCTATTGATTGAAATCAGAAATATAAACCACTAAATTCTAATTAAGTGATGTTGAGTTATCATTTGTTCATTGAAAGATCAAGATATCTTGTATTTCTTGCTTGTATAACGCTAATAGTTCCAAACTGACAAGGAATTCTAAGCTAGAACAAAACAAGAGCCCAGTGTTATTTCATTGATACTAATTCCTAACATGAGTATATATGTGACAAATACTGACTATTTGAAATAGTCAATTTTTGTAGTAAAGTTGAATCGCAGCTTATCATGGAATCTAGGACACAAGTTTTTTCCAGTGTCAAAATTGTCAATTTGATATACCTGAATTTCATTGTTGATGTTCATTCGGAAACTTGAATCCAGTATCTTTCTGTTTAAACACGAAAATATTATTCGGTTGATGAATCCCAAGTTGGATAGAAAGCACTATCTAAATTCCACTGCTACCCACAACATAACTGTACTAAAATTTATAACCAGAGGTAATATCTATGAAATCTACTCGAAATAGACATAGGTCATTAAAGACTAATAATTAATATTAGTAAGAGTTGAAATAGAAATCATTTAATTCTAGATGATGATAATACAGAAATTCTCTTTGTTAAAAAAGTAGTTGAGATCATGAATCAATTGAAGCTAAACCACCATGGAAAACCTGGAAGCGCTGAATGGCCACCTCGTCCTATTATGGGGCTCCTCAGCAGTGCGCATTCACGATCCCGCCTCGCAAGATTCCAACCCAGGACCTATGAGTTTCTCGCGTGAGCGCTTAACCGCTAGACTACTGAGCCGGCGTCCGTTGGTATTATTGTTTAACTTCAAATGATCCACGAAAGATATGAAAAAAAATCAATATCATGTTATTTCGGTCAAGGTGATTCATAAACGACATGTACGTAAATTTTTGTGTGTGTATATGTGCGCTGTTAAGGATGAAAATTGTATGACTTTTATGGTGAAAAAGGATAGAGTTCAATTTGTAAGGTAATAGCGTGAATTGTAAATAATATCAGACTAGGTGGTTAGGATAGTTAATCCATGTAGAGTGTACGTTAAGGCCTTCTTTTCTGTTGAGAGAAGCAGGATTAAGCATTATATGCAACACTTCAGCTACTCTCCTTTCTTTGTAATTGGGAAAACCTTTTTCTAATATTTATTTATTCTCTAAAGAAGTGGCTTACACTTAGTCACGAAATGTCAGAATTAGCAAGTAGTTTTCTATGCTGTGTACAAATATGAATAGTGATTTTTGGCATATAATGAAAATGAATAACAGTGATGAAGAAGTATACTATGTATGTATCTTATATTAAAAATGCTGTTGTAAATGATAATTGAAATGTACTGATATATATGTACTATGTGAAATATTTAGGTAGAGTTTTCATATTATTTAAATATCGTTTTCAGTTCTACACAATTAGTTATGAATATGATTGTGTAAAAATTGGGTTATACCTCAAATGGACTGGAATGTTATTGTATGTATGCCATACAACCTGAATATTCTGTATGGAGCAGTGAATATTTACTGTCGGGTAGTCATGACATAGATTAAAACATATATGACAGTGTATTTGACTCAGTTAATACGTACATGTTATAGATAAGACTTTAAACTTATCTCGTTGATAAAATGAATACGAATTTTTCGAGAAAGCATAAATTTTAAGTGTTCATACTGGTAAACGAACCATAAGGAAGGATAAACGAAACATAGTACAGTATTTGGATTGATTATGAAATCAGTCAACCTGTGAATTGCTATCTCAGTACATTTATGGGTTACATTGGTATAGTGCAATATAGATAAACAGATATAGACAAGTATACATATTTTAAAAAAGTAAACAAATGAAAGGTCATTAGCAGTTACCTATAAATATATACACTGTAAGTAACCTTAGTTTTCCTACATTGTATAAGGTCAGATAACGCCTTGCATCAACCTGTTATGTCAATTTATGATACATTTGTAAATTTGGTTGTATATATGTGTTTGTAAGCATATGCGCATAGAGAGCGGATGAACTTGATAATGCCATTAAGTATATTTCAAAGTTGAAATCATGAGTCAATTGAAGCCAGACCACCATCGAAAACCTGGAAGCACTGGACGGCCGTTTCGTCCTACTATGGGACTCCTCAGCAGTGCACATCCACGAACCCCTAGCTTCAATTGACTCATGATTTCAACTTTCAAAAATACTGAAATCTCCACAAATCCCCTTCTAAATGCCATTAAGTGTCAAATATTTAAGTACGGATGGATAGTGACTAACAATATAATCTAGGAAGCACGATTTGTTCTAATTTGATGAAAATTCAGTCATTACCATCAACCATGAGATTTAAACATCTACAAATAAATAATGGAGTTCATCCCAATGGTACAAGCTAGCGGGTATTCGAATTTAGCAACTTAGTGGACCGGCTTGGAGTCCGCATTTGATGTGATTATATCATATTTTCTTGAAAAAGCTTGGACTAGACTGTCAAGGAAAACGTCGGATTTGCTTCAAATTCATTTGTTGAAATTCTATGAATACATTCGTCATTAATGTCACACAAATCCTGTTGCAAATAAACCATATATAAAGTGGGATATTGGTTTAATTTAGTTCAGAGGTTAAGTAAGTCCATACTGTTATAACTTGTGGCCTTGTGCCGCTACCAGTATATGACGTGATGATACTGCCAATTATAGAACAGTGATTTATCGATCAGGTCAATGACACATTAAACTCATACGAATATTCTAGAGTCCTTAACGGTCCTTCCTACTGCATGCCCTGCCTGTCCTATCCAGAACACCAATCTCAGCCTCCGTGATATGAATCATTTATTTCAAACAAACTGTGTTCATATACAAACCAAACAGACCGCATCACACCAAAAGGTAGAAAACGATATTTATACAAGTTCTAGCCAAATGTGGCTGCGAATATACTTACTTACTTACTTACGCCTGTTACCCCTCGTCGAGGAGCATAGGCCGCTCACCAGCATTATCCATCCAACTCTATCCTGAGCCTTACTTTCCAGTTCTTTCCAGTCACTATTCAGCCTTTTCATATCGGCTTCTATTTCCCGGCGTAGTGTGTTCTTTGGCCTTCCTCTTTTCCGCCTCCCTTCCGGATTCCAAGTTAGGGATTGAGTCGTGATGCACATTGGTGATTTCCTTAATGTATGTCCGATCCACTTCCAACGTCTTTTCCTAATTTCCTCTTCAGCTGGAAGCTGGTTTGTTTTCTCCCATAAAACGCTGTTGCTGATAGTATCCGGCCAATGGATGTTGAGTATTTTGCGTAGACAACTGTTTATAAATACTTGTACCTTCCTGATGATGGCCGTAGTAGTTCTCCAAGTTTCAGCACCATACAGTAGGACTGTCTTGACGTTCGTATTGAAGATTCTGACCTTGAAATTGGTTGAGAGTTGTTTTGAGTTCCATATGTTCTTCAATTGTAGAAATGCTGCCCTTGCTTTGCCAATCCTCGCCTTTACATCTGCATCCGATCCTCCTTGTTTGTCAACAATGCTCCCCAGGTACTTGAATGCTTCCACCTCTTCCAGAGTTTCGCCGTCAAGTGTGATTGGGTTGGTGTTCTCCATGTTGCATTTGAGAATCTTGCTTTTTCCTTTGTGAATGTGGAGACCTATCGATGCGGAGGCTGCTGCTACATTTGCTGTCTTCATCTGCATTTGGTCGTGTGTATGAGAGAGAAGGGCTAGGTCATCTGCGAAGTCCAAATCATCTAATTGATTCTGAGCTGTCCATTGTATCCCGTATTTCCCTTCAGATGTCGAATTCTTCATAATCCAGTCAATCACTAGAAGGAAGAGGAATGGGGAGAGTAGACAGCCTTGTCTGACTCCGCTCCTTACTGGAAATGCATCTATCAGCTGTCCTCCATGCACCACTTTGCACTGTAATCCATCGTATGAGTTTTGGATAATGTTGACGATCTTCTGAGGAACTCCATAGTGTCGAAGAAGTTTCCACAATGTTCTCCTATCCACTCTGTCAAACGCCTTCTCATAGTCGATGAAGTTGACGTATAGTGATGAGTTCCACTCAACTGATTGTTCAACGATGATCCGTAGTGTCGCAATCTGGTCTGTGCACGACCCATCCTTACGGAATCCAGCCTGATGATCCCTAAGTTCGGCGTCTACTGCGTCTTTCATCCGATTCAGCAGCACTCTGTTGAAAACTTTTCCTGGTACTGATAACAAACTGATACCTCTGTAGTTCTCACATTGGCTCAGATCTCCTTTCTTTGGTATCTTGATGAGATGTCCTTCTTTCCAGTCCGTTGGCACTTGTTCCTCTTCCCAAATGTTTTTGAATAGAAGGTGGAGCGTGTTTGCAGTTATTTCAATGTCTGACTTCAGTGCTTCTGCTGGTATATTGTCAGGTCCTGCCGCCTTCCCACTTTTGATTTGTCTGATGGCCATCTTGACTTCTTCGATCGTTGGTGGAGTGACATCTATAGGAATGTCTGTGTGGACTGCTTCGATGTTCGGTGGATTCGATGGGGCTGGTCTATTCAGCAGTTCCTCAAAGTATTCTGCCCATCTTTTCCTCTGTTCCTGAATCTCAGTGATTGTCTTTCCTTCTTTGTCTTTGACTGGTCTCTCTGGTTTGCTATATCTCCCTGCCAATTTCTTCGTTGTATCATATAGTTGTTTCATATTCCCTTCTCTTGCAGCTTTTTCCGCCGCCGTTGCTAGTTCTCCCATATATTTCTGCTTGTCGACTTTAATGCTTTTCTTCACTTCCCTGTTTGCTTCTGCGTAGTCTGCTTGTGCTTTGACTTTCTCTGCTCGTGTTCGGCTGTTGTTAATTGCTAGTTTCTTGTTCTTCCTTTCTTGAATTTTGTCCAGGGTTCCCATAGAGATCCATTCCTTGTGATGGTGCTTCTTAGGACCAAGAACCTCCTGACACGTTGAAGTTAGTGCTTCTTTTATCCCTTTCCAGTTGTCCTCCAAATTAGTTTCTTGTTCTTTCAGTAGATCCTGTAGAGCTTGGAACCTATTGTTGAGAGTTATCTTGAATTCATGGAGCTTGTGAGCATCTCGAAGGAAGGCTGCGAATATGTGAGACTGTAATTAATAGACTGGACATAACTCGAGAACGGTAAATCGTCTAATAATAGTGTATGAATCAAGATAAAGCTTATAATCAGAGAAGCATGAATACCCACAGTTTAGTTGATTAACAATTATACAATAAAAATATATGTATCGTATTGGTGTATAAATAGTCCTCAAAAGTTACCATTCATCATTCTCGTCGGGATATAAGACATACCACCAGTCTTTGTATTCTCGTTATGTGTTGCCAGATTAGAAGAGGTTTCAATAACAAGCACAAGTCAGTCAAACATTTCCACAGAATACAGTGACCGGCACAACACTAAACAATACTAGAATTTATAATTTAGTAAGAAATGACTCCTTATTTTATTTGTTTGTAAATAAAATAATATTGGATAAAAAACTTCCTCATTTTTAGAAAAAAACATCACTTTTTATAAATTGCTACCTTTAAATTATTTGACACAATGTATATCATGTGTTTTTCTATGTCAGTTTTAAAAACACATTGAACCAATTTGCGGAAAAAAAGAAGTCTGCATTGAAAAAATCCTTCCATTTTGCAAAGATTTATTCTGAAATGATTGTTATTTTATAAGCAAAGATGGATAGTGGCTAGCAGTGGAATCCAGGACGTGCGTTTCGTCCTAGTTGGAACTCGTCAACTACATGTATGTGTATCTCAGAGTTGATGTTCACTCTGGGACTTGAAGCCAGTACTGTTCACTTTAAACGCGCGTCTTGTATTCCACTGTTAGCCACTATCATTCTTTACTGAGAATATTCGTGAATTAAGGCTATATCGAGGCAATCTACATAGGATGCACATATACTAATAAGAGACTGATCAATTGCAGTCCTAACACATCAATGGGAAAATTCAAACAAACAATACCAAGGGATTGTTGTTTTAATTTTATTCAAGGTCTTGAATTATAAAATTTACCACAGACGATTATTACCTGAAAGATTCTAGTAACCATTTAAAATAAAATATTATCAAAAGTGTTATAAAATCAATGATTTATTCACTTAAACAAAGAAAAAAACAATCTGTATGATTGATCAATTTGATTTACCTGTAAAAAAACTTCAAAGGTATCTTGATGGAGATCAAACACAGTAACTGAATTTTAAAAAGGTGTTTAGGGTCATCCAAAATGAATTTTATTGATTAACTTTGAAGAAAAATTCCAAATACATAGTTATCTATTCGTTTTCTATCAATCATTTTGAATTGAACATGTCAAATAGTATGATGTAAACTGTTATATCCTAAAGAGAATGATGAATGGTAACTTTTGAGGACTATTTATGCACCAATATGATATGTATATTTCCTATTTTATAATTGCTAAGTAACTCAACTATTCATATTCATGTTCCTTTTATTATTAGCTTTATTTTGACCTATAGACTATTACTGTATGATTTACCATTCCTGAGTTATACCCAGTCTATTAATTACTCTTCCCCTCTTATTCACAGCTAGGTTTAACTGAGTTGTATATAAATGTTATTTTCTATATTATGGTACGATGTGATTAGTTTGATTGGCATACAAACTCAGTATACTTACTTACGCCTGTTACCCCTCATCGAGGAGCATAGGACGCTCACCAACTCAGTATGCTTGAAATAAATGATTCATATTACAGAGGCTATTATTGGTATTCTGGACTTAACTGGCTAGGCTAGGCAGAAAGCAGCACCGACAAGTGCTCTAGATTGTTCGTACAGGTTTCGTATGTCACTGGTCAGATCGATAAATCGCTGCTCACCAATTAGCGGGAATCATAATATCATATATTAAACATGGCAATTGACCACATAATATTACAAAAACTGAGTTGTCTCATATTAAAAAAGAAAAAAAAAGAGAATAAATTATAGATTGATAAACTATTTAAGTATTACTTTATTTATTACAAGAAAATAGGGACAACCTTGGTAATCTAATAACTAAGATATCTAAGTTTTCACTCTTTATTCAACTAATCTGAAAAGAATATTGTATATAGATGAAGGAAAGAAAATAATTGAAGAGTCTTTTTATCTTGGATACAAACTGATTGATTTTACTAATTTTTGTTTTAGAAATAAAATCTTGTAAAGTTTCTATATCCACTTAAATAGCTTATGATTCTAAAACATATGGATAATTATTTTTGTTGAATATACTACTCGGCCACCAGGGTGCTTGGTACCTGCGTGGTTGCGCCACGGGATTGAGCTGTGCTGTTCGGATTGTAGCGTTGAAGCTCATATAGTGTCTGGTTCTCCTATGGGGCGGAACTGAGCTGTACTGTTTGGGTTGTCGCGTAAAAGTTTGGATGGTGTCTGGTTCTCCTGAGAACCAGTGTAAAATTACCCTGGCCCATAAGGGTAGATTATATAACTGTGAAACTTTTGTAGTGTTTATTATTTATTTTCATATTATCTAGGGTTCTAATAAAGTTATTCTTTATCCTGTATAATTTTATATTTACTTATAGGTTGTAGCTGAATATGAAAGAGCAGTTATATTTCGATTAGGTAGAATTTTACCTAAAGGTGCTCGTGGACCAGGACTTTTCTTTATTGCACCATGTATTGATTCGATTCGTAAAGTTGATTTACGAACTGTAACATTTGATGTTCCACCTCAAGAAGTAAGATATATATATATATATATATATATATATATGTTTGAGCACTGATGGGTTTTGTGACTGATAAATTCTTTTTTTTCTTTCAAATTGAAACATGTGACAACCAAAATTATTCCATTGCTATCAGTTTAAGGTAGTGGAGATTGTTAAGTTTTTGGTTGGGATCATGAATTGATTGACTTTAGACCACCAATGAAAACTTGTACACACTAGATGGCTGTTTTGTCCGATCATGGGACTCCTCCGTAGTGCGCACCCACGATCCCACACGTAGGATTCGAACGCAGGACCTTCGATCGCCTAACCTCTAGACCACTGAACCGGTATCCAAAGATGCTTATGTCTAACTTCAACCAACCTACGAAATTGCGTGACCACCAATCAGATTTAAGATAGTAGGTCTTCTATTTTGGTGCGAGATTCATCCGCTTATTTGGCTAAATATCATTTCGGCATTATAGATGATGCTAGTTCGTGACGAAAACATTCAATATAATTCTTAACACTAACATTCAACCATAAATCTTAATCCCAGTTCCTTGCACTAATTTATAACCCTCATTTAACCCTAGTAAGTAAATGGACATTTTCAAGATCATTTTAGCGTTGCTCAAAAGTCGTCCACAAATTATAGTCTCACCAATTATTTTTTTCTTCTTCACCAAAAGAACTATTGAATTAAATTTGGATAACATTGTCATTTTTAATTTCATGGAAGAAAAAAAATTAGTAACGTTTATAATGACTATAATCACATGCTCACTAGTGACTGACTTCAAGAGGTAATTCCTGGAGTTCAAGTGAGAAGCAGTGACCAGTGGAGTCCAACCAGGTCTGTTGTGAGATATCAACTCACCAAAGACATTGGTGAAATGGTTGCTCAGTTTCGTAGATTGGTTAAAGTTGGACATTAACAACTTTGGGTGCTGGGTCAGTGGTCTAGTGGTTAAGCGCTCGCGCGCGAGACTGATAGGTCCTGGGTTCGAATCTCGTGAGGCGGGATCGTGGATGTGCACTGCTGAATAGTCCCATAATAGTACGAGGTGGACGTACAGTGCTTCCAAGTTTTCCCTGGTGATCTAGCTTCAAATGACTCATTCTTTCAAATATGAAAGTAGTAACGTTTAGTACAGGAATACTAGTGTCAAAAACAGGAATATATATATATTCACAAATTTTTCAGGGTTCATCATTTTTAAGAGATCTTAGATATTAAACATTGTCCTCAAGTCATTAATCAAGTTCATTTAAACATATTCTGATCACATGTAACGTTTAGTTGTCTCTAATTCATAAGTTTGTTGTCATATAGTCAAATATACATTTTTACACACTTGGATACACACAACTTGATGTCAGATTAAGATTAATGTTATAGTCGAACTTATTATACTTACTGAATCCCTTTTCATTATTATTCGTTGAATTAATGAAAATAAATGAGAAGATAAATCAACTGATGAGCATTTAAAAAAAAATTCATCCCATCGAAAACGTTGACTTAATCTCTTCAGTTATGTTCCATGGAACTGAAGAATAAATTTTGTTTTAAAAAAAGAACTCAGAATTTGATTAATATCATTTTTGAAGAGAGAGAGAGAAGTAGCCAACAAGGTCTTGTTCCTGAATGTCTTAATCTATCAAATAAACACCGGAACTTTGGAAACATAAATATCCAGGCAATCAAGCATCATGAATAAAATGTTAAACAACACTAGTAACGGCTTAACAGAACTTTAAAGGATTTGTGCTCAAACACTTCTTGAAAGAGCCGAAACTCATTGAAGTATTTTCACTACACAAAAGTGTTGGGAAACTCATTTCAAGTCCATCTTCTTTTAGAACGTCTTCCCCAAAATATTTCATCTAAAGTTTTCTGGTCAATCAATAAACTGTTTAGAAACCAATCTCGGTAATCAAGAAAACAATCATTCTAATAAGACTCATGATTTCAACTATCTGAAATTACTAAAATCTCCAGAAAAACCCCCTTGTGATAATGATCTTATGCTCACCAGTCACTGGCTCCATGAGGTATTTCCTGGAGTTCTAGTGAGAAGCAGTGACCAGTGGAGTTCTACCAAGTCTGTTGTAGATATATCAACTCACTGAAGACAATCGGTGAACGGTTGCTCAACTTCGTGGATTGGTTGAAGTTAGACATTAACACCGTTGGATGCCGACCGGCCCAGTGGTCTGGTGGTTAAGCGCTCGCGCGCGAGACTGACAGGTCCTGGGTTCGAATCTCGCGAGGCGGAATCGTAGACGCGCACCGCTGAGGAGTCCCACAATAGAACGAAACGGCCGTCCAGTGCTTCCAAGTTTTCCATGATGGTCTAGCTTCAATTGTCTCATGATTTCAACTGTATAACATTCAATTAAGTATCAGAAATATCTGAAAAACGATTACAAGGCTCCTAAACTTCTTTAGTGTCTACGTCACTCATAAACCAACACAGTCACTTCATTCCATTCTATTCAGATAAAAAAACTCAACATCAAAGGAAGACAATTGTAACATTGTTCATGAAATAAAGTGAACCAGTTGCGAAGAGTAATACATAGGACAAAACAGGTGATCTTATTATCTTTGCACAAATAAACACATATAAACAGTTAGGTAAAATGATATATCATCAATGATACCAATTCATACTGATAACCATGGACATTAATTTGATTGTGTAAATGTTCAAATTTTTGATCGGGACAACTCTTAGAATTGCAGAAAATCTCTATAAGTATGGAATCCAAATAAATTAGTAGTCAATACACACTTCAACATTGACCCAATTTATGAAGCCATACAGAAGAAGTCAGTCACTCACAATGTCATAGATCAATCAATAAAGACAGTCAACGCGAATACGAAGGCAAACGAAGATAACTAAACCCACAAAGGCAACCAGTCACAAACAAGTCAGTTTGAATGAACCGGTATGATATTTGTGCAATAGTTAGAAAGCTCACTTTTATATGAAGTAGATGATGAAGACATTGTTTAGGATGGCAATGAAAGATTCACAAAAAATCATTGAACATAGTTAGTAAACGTCTCTCCCCAATAATAAACCCGTTATAAATCTTACTGAACAAACAATCATCATTGAAACATGCTTCATTTTACGTTATTTTAATTCTACTAATATTTTCTTTTTTTTTTGTCTTCAGGTTCTTACGAAAGATTCAGTTACAGTAGCTGTAGACGCTGTAGTTTATTATCGTATATACAATCCTGTAGTAGCCATAACCAATGTTGAAGATGCTGACCGATCAACACGCCTACTAGCAGCGACTACATTAAGAAATGTTTTAGGTACAAAGAATTTAGCTGAGATTTTATCTGAACGTGAATCGATTTCAACGTCTATGCAGGTAAAAAAAATTGATTGATTTTATAACTTTCGATAAATTTTTATCTTTACTATTTTGTTTTATTTCTTAAATCAAGTTACAGATGAGAATGTCGGTAATTTATTGTAATCATGAAAAGATAATTGTAAATTAATTAGTTAGGAATAAATGTAACCACTTATTTTAATCAACCATTGTGAGGAAAATTACAACTAACTGGTGATTGTGAGTGATTATGTAATAACAAGTATGATTAATCAGAGAGCCACTTGTACGTGTATGTGTGTACTTACAAACTGAGACATTCTATATGTTATATAGTTGAAATCATTGGTCAATTGAAGATAGACCATCATGGAAAACTTGGAAGCACTGGACGGCCGTTTCTTTCTATTGTGGGACTCTTCAGCAGTGCGCATCCATGATCCCTCCTCGCGAGATTCGAACCCAGGACCTATCAGTCTCGCGCGCGAGCGCTTAACCACCAGACCACTGGGCCGGTCGGCATCCAACGGTGTTAATGTCTAACTTCAACCAATCCACGAAGTTGAGCAACCATTCACTAATGTCTTCAGTGAGTTGATATATCTACAACAGACTTGGTAGAACTCCACTGGTCACTGCTTTTCACTAGAACTCCAGTAAATACCTCATGGAGCCAGTGACTGGTGAGCATAAGATCATTATCACAAGGGGGTTTTTTGGAGATTTTAGTAATTTTATATAGTTGAGATCATGAATCAATTAAAGCTAGATCACCATGGAAGACCTGGAAGCACTGGACGGCCGTTTCGTCGATGAATAAATTTTCTAAAAAAAAGTTTTGTGACATTTAAATTATAAAAAACCATTTTCATACTAGCTGCTCAATTTCGTGGATTGGTTGAAGTTAGACACCGCTGAATGCCGGCTCAGTGGTCTATCGGTTAATTGCTCGCGCGCAAGACTGATAGGTCATGGGTTCGGATCTCGAGAGGCGGGATCGTGGATGCGCACTGCTCGGGAGTCCCACAATAGGATGAAACGACCGTCAAACAGTGCTTCCAAGTTTCCCATGGTGGTCTAGCTTCAATAGACTCATAATCTCAACTATATAAAATTACTAAAATTTCTACAAAACCCTCCTTCTCATATTTTAATATTAAAAAAAAATCAACCTCCTAAAATGTCATTCGATTAAATTTTCATAGAAAAGTAAATTTTTCATTCTACAAACTTTGATTGTTCGATTTCCTTGATTAATAAAAACAGGAAATTATTTTGCTAAAAAAAATGAACCTTTTCTAAAAATTGAACATTTTTTTAAAAATTTTGACAAAAAATAATATATTTAGGGTTATTATTAATTATCAGACGGGGTTTTTGTGGAGATTTAGTATTTTCATAGTTGAAAGCGTGAGTCAATTGAAGCTAGACCACCAGGGAAAACCTGGAAGTACTGGACGGCCACCTCTTCCTATTGTGGGACTCTTCATCAGTGCGCATCCACGACCTCGCCTTGTGAGATTCAAACCCAGGACCTACCATTCTCACGCCAGAGCACTTAACCGATAAACCACTGACCGGCATCCGATGGTGTTGATGTCTATCTCTAACCAATCCACGAAGTTGAGCAACCGTTGACCAATTGTCTTCAGTGAGTTCCTCTTTCACAATAGACGTGGTATGAACTCCACTGATTACTAGAGCACTGCTGAGGAGTCCCACAATAGGACGAAACGGACGTCCAGTGATTCCTCGTTTTCTCTGGTGGTCTAGCTTCAATTGACTCAAGCTTTCAATTATTATTAATTGTTCAATATTTTTCTAAAGTTTGAACTGCAAGTTTGTACTTTTGAATTCATATTATTATTATCATTAGTAATATTGTCGTGTGGGTTACTGATATCCACATAAGTAGTATATGGTCATGGTCAGCCATTGAATGTATTTCAGTAGAAGATCGATAACGAAAGAACGGGAACGGCACGTAATTGGTGTGAAAATACATGAACAATTATAATCGGAGACTATGAACGGATATTTGCAGAAGAAACAGTCAAATTGAGACAATTGATTGTTATTTTGCAAATTAAGTGTTCACTATATGGTTGTCAGATTTTAATGAGATGTTCTGTAATGTTGTGCTAAAATACATTCAATTGTCACCAACCGGTGTTCTTGTTCACTACACACAGTATTTCAACAAGTCTCTTTTCCTTATTTCTTGATCGGTATTGACGATCAATATTGAGTGATTGGCAGTTAGACAGATGTTCGTAGTTCAGGAGTCGACATTTGAATAATGTTTATTTTTTTAATGCCACAATAATGATACTTCTGATTGTACATTTTTGGAAATTGTACAGCGAAAGTTAGTAAACTTTTTCATAATCGCGTCTAAATAGGTTGTGTGATTAGTAGACACAATGATGTGTTAAAATAAACAAACAAAAACAGATAACTTGTTGAAATATTTAGATGAGAGGAACAACAGGTAGTCCAGATATTCAAACAGGCCATTGTGATTAAAATGATTCTTATAAGGTCACTTAGCTTTCAAAGAATGTAACATTGTATTAAACACGTTAATTTATGGCTAAAACACTTTTAGTCTATCACTATATTTTTAATGAATTTATGACATAAGTATATCAAAACGTCTGCTTTACATCAATTTTGCCTTTTCACTTTCTGTGTTGGTGTGAAGTATATCAGTTTGGCTCAGAAAGTGTTACATTCTCTGAGTTGTATATTTTAGTTGTGAAGGATGATTTGGACCTTCTAGACAATATTATTGGCACATATCTATCATATTATTTAAAAAGACAATTAATTGCTGCACTAATACTTCACCTAACTCAAAAATCCAATATATAAAAAATCCACCTACTGAACTGCAAACCATCTTTATGATCTATTGCATCAGCTTAAAATTGTCGCCTGAGTGGTAAAAAGGTTAAGTACATAATACGAAGTCTGTAAGCCATGGATTTTATCTCTATTAGGGAAGTAGATATGTATTACTAAGGAGCTTATTATTGTAAAGAAAACGTTTTTTTATTATTTCCCTGTCTTTAATATTTGTCAAACCTAAGTCAACCTGCACCATACAACTTTGTCAGATTGACAAGTGTTTCTTTTCTTTATTTATTATTTCTATTAGACAATGCTTGATGATGCAACTGATCCATGGGGCGTTAAAGTAGAACGTGTTGAAGTGTAAGTCAATTCATAATATATTTGTTATTGACTCCATATATGTAAGTTTCTAAGCCCTAGATGGTGAATTGGAATTCCTAAACCTAAATTTCATGCTAGTTAACACTTGTCAACAGTTCTTATCTCCAAATTTGATGTACCTTATATTCTCATTTTTAACTCGAAACTACATTGTTGAATGTTAAATTTAAAGATGTTCCCAAAGAAATAGTTTAGATTTACCCCACTGGTCAATGCTAACTAACATATAACCGAAGTCAGTCACAGCTTCATGTTTGATTTCTCCATTTGTTTAATAATAAAATATATTTTGTGCAATGTCAAGTTAATTAAGTCACATTAAATATCGGACAACAGTGGCCATGGTTACTATTTAGTACTCAATCAAATGACATTTCTACAGTAGTATTTCTCTTCTTTTCTCAATTTATTTATTCCTTTTTAAATTAAGACATTGACATGATGAATCGGCATTCTCGTCAGCTAATTTCATATTTAAGATTCCTACTTTATCCTTATTCTATTATATAATTTTATTTGATTATGATATACACCATTTCATTATAACTATGATTTTACATAAAACTGTCCTGGTTTATAATCCATAACTTACATAAGCAAAGATGGATAGTGGCTAGCAATGGAATCCAGGACGCACGTCACTTCGTCCTATTTGGGACTCGTCAGCTGGATGTACCCGCATCTCAAAGTTGATGTTCACTCTGGAACTCGAACCCAGTACCGTTTGCTCCAAATGCCATCACGTTATTCACTTAGCTACTGAGTCCTGATAGCTACCTGCTTGTACAATTGGTGTTGTTTACTTGTATCTTCCCATTATGAACATCAACTCTGAGACGCAGATACATCCAGCTGACGAGTCCCAGATAGAACGAAACGCACGTACTTGATTCCACTGCTATTCGCTATTCATCTTTGCTTATAAAGCTTGTGACTTCAGGCAATATGGAGACAATCCGCACAGGATGCACATATGCTGACAAGAGACTGGACCCTAACTTACATGTTTCGAATTCATGACTTTCGTTCATATCTATCGTTTAAAAGAATTCTTTCAATGATAACTATATTCATATTGTGTTTTTTGGAAAATATTGATAAATTCAAAACTATGTTAGAAATAAGCAATGATGCTTAATCTTCACATAGAATAAAAGATGAATTATCAGTATGGGGTTATAGAGATTATCATGACTTTGATTGAGGTCATGAACCGATTGATATTAGACCACCAATGAAAAGCTGTAAGCGCTGGACACTGTTTCGTCCTACTGTGGAACTCCTCAGTACTGCACATCTACGATCCTGTTCGCGTGATCCTTCTATACGATACTGTTAATTCGTCAAGAAAGAAAACTACATTCGAAAGCTTAGCACATTTTAAATAGTAATAGTGTATACAGACATCTTAACAAGTTTCCCAAAATTACAATGACAAACAAACAATTTATGATTACATAATTTTCTCTCTCTCACACACACACACTCTCTCTCTCTCTATTCAACTTATTACATAGCTATAATTGAATGTTTATTTTGTTTATACTGATAGATAAGAAAATAAAAAGTTTATGGCGCCAATTAATTTTAAATTTTAAACATTTTTGAAATAAGATTTACTAAATAATAAACAACAAAATTTTGGAATGTTTTTTAGACTAAGATAATTTCTTTCTTAAATGTTAGATTTACGATAAATGTTATTGATTTAATGAAAAATTAAAATTGAATTTTTCTTTTATGATGAAGTTTTATTCTCTGATCTGGATGGTTTAGTCATAGAGCTTTCATTGTTTTTCATCAGAATAAACTTCGAGTAGATAATGTTGTTCAAGAGGATGATGAAAATTATATGACCAAAACATCTAGCTCAAAGAATGAAACTTCATTGAATTTTGTTTTCTTCAGTTTATTTAATAAAATTTTGCGAAGGTTTTTTTTTTACTTTAAATAAATATTTGTCGATCTATCTATCTATCTATATACATATATTTATTTATTTAAACACATAAATATTGGTGCAAAGGGGCACCAGATATATATGCGCCACACAAATCTCATTTGATATGTGTGAGGGCTGTGGTACTACCCGGGTGCTCAAATTGAAGCAGGTGGTTTACTTAAGGGGGCCACACCTGGAGCCTTTGACCTAAAGATCTGATCCACAAGGCAATGGAGCATCTTAAGTAGACGCAGTCCCATGGTAGCCGGTTACCGACGATTGATTCATATGCCATTTGTTCCTTCAGGATACTGGAGCCTATGTGCACCATTTGTTTGGAATTAGGGTTTTTCAACAACTCTGCGTGAACTTTCCGTGTCCACCAATCCGGTTAAATCGCTGGAAATTCACTTTGCGTCCTCTTAATTTCGTAAACAACACCCCCCGTCACGAGAAGGCAGTGAGTAAGATTTCCCTGGCAGAGGCTATATACGCGTGGCCATGTGAGAGCATTTAGAGGGTGAGAGCGGACTATCCCAACTCTCGGTCCTTGTTTTTTCAATTTATTCATCACTGTTATTTATTTGAAAAATAACTGAGTGACTTACACTTGATTTTGAAACCCTGAATCCAATGACAGTTAAAATATCATGAATTGTGCTATGGATTTGTTTATTATTCAGTTAAAAGCATTAGGATAGGTGTATATCATATTCCACTTCCAAATATAGGTCACATCAGTATAAGAGTGAAGCATTTTTATATTAATAGAGACTTTATGTTTAGTTGCAAATAATAACAATGGGAAATACAAACACGATATGTTGATGATTGTTGTGGTGTTGTGTAGAGATCCAGTTTAAAACGACTGTTTCAAGGTTAGATTTTCGAGTAATACTAGGAAGCAAGTACATTTAGCTAACCAGTTCCATAAAGAAAGGAATGTACGTCCAGAATATTACTGCTAGATATTTGTTTATTGATTTGTACAGTTTGTATTGCTAATTCTTTCGTTTATTGTAAATCAAAATCTTCTGATTTATATAGATCTTTTGACATAAACTGACAATCATTAAAAATATGCGATTCCTGGATAGCGATTTCACCTTAGAATGAATCTCTTCAACAGTGTATTCATACGACCCTATCAAAGAATTAGATCAGCTCTTACGGTCAATCAACAAAACTTCTTCACTTCGGATTTCATCAAATACTGATTAATTGCACTTCTTATGAGAAAATCAAGAAATTACGTTTCTAATCCATTTGAAACGTTGAACTATTTGTTATGACACTTGAAGTGTCAAGGTGTTTTTTTTTCCTAAAACATAACTGTGTATATGTAAGATTAATTCATCATAACACAGCTCTTATATCATATTAGATAAAATTAGTGATTATCTACTTTATTGAATGACTATACTTGTTACTATACTTTGTCACAAATACCTTGTTATTGATTTCCTATATTACATATATACTATAGAATGAATTCAGACTGTTACATTAAGCTTTTGTAAAGACTATAATAACTGGATTAAATCAAAATAGTATGCCTCAGGTCATAAGTAGTTTAAGTTTATGCATATATGTGTATAATGATTGGAAGAGCTTTAAAATATCTAGTTTGTTATTTACTTTTTAGGTTAATAAATTGTAGTTCTACTGTCAATCCGTCAGTCAGCTAAAATGTAGGACCAGGCACTTATATGCATCGGTTCAAGTAACCATACCTCGTTAGCACAACATGATGAACACCGAATTCATAGTCAGTTCAATGGAAGTAATATATAAAAGAAAGGTTGCATATAAAGATATAGTATAAGAAGGAAGACAGATATGAAGCAAGTTTAATCTCAATGTTCAAAGGAAGACAACGAGTGTATACACCTACACCATTGTGATCGATTTTGAGTTATGTCACCTAGAGTCTCCAACCATTGGTTACGATAGTCACGCGGATCCCAACCAAGTAGTCTGCATGGCTCAGACTAGAAGTTAATGACTTCAAGCTCTGATGCCATGTTTTGGTTTGGCCGCCCCTAACTCTCTTCCAACCATCCCCAATACTAGTCAGTATAGCACGTCCTAGTAATCGGTGTTCAGGCATACGTAACACATCACCCAACCATCTCAGTCGATGAAGACTCATGACCTCATCAACTGATTTACCATCCTTCCCTAATACCCTTTGTCTAACCTCACTATTACTTACCCGGTGATTCCAGCAGATGAATATACAACTGAATATTGTTATTTACTGATAAGTTATTATCATTGTATAATTGTTAGATTTTTAAATAAATAGCATTAGTATATGATGACTTTCATTCTCTTTGTTATCATTTTAGAAAAGATGTACGTCTACCTGTACAACTTCAAAGAGCTATGGCCGCTGAAGCTGAAGCTACAAGAGAAGCACGTGCTAAGGTAAAGTTTATCTTAAACTGGTATCATATATGTATGTTTGATATTTTAGTATCCCTGTTATTTATTGATAGAATTTCATTTGTTCAAGATAACTGTTGAATAGATTTACTTTGCTACAAATTTCCTACCAGTCAATAAATCTGAATCTCCTCTTTATTGCAAATACAGATTCTGTTCAAAAGCTTGATAAAAATGTCTGTTAGTCTCGATTTAATGATAATAAAAGTATATAAAGCTGTTAGAATAATAATAAGACAGTTATTCAGTCAACCAATTATCCTCGACGTCATAACCAATCAAGGATCTTGATGTTTGACAGTTGAATTTGTCATAAATGACATCTATAGTGATTGAGAGGAGATTTACCAGATGAGAAAAAAGGCTGAAAAATTTATTAAGACCTTAATGAAGGTTTAAAAATGAGAAATATAAATTCATTTTGTATTGTTTGTTTGAATCTTCGCCCTATTGCACAAGCTAGAGGTTATCATGACTCAGTAGCTAAGAGGATAAGTTGATGGTGTTTCTGGGTTCAAGTCCAAGAGTGAACATCAAGTCTGGAATAAGGGTACATCCAGCTGATGAGTCGCAAATAGACTACACACACGCACTACATTCCACTGCTAACCATTATCCATCTTTGCTTATAATGAGAAACGTTTTTTGTAATCAATAGATGGAATTTAAAAAATGAAGATTAAAGTATGTTATCACATAAATCACTATATAGACTAAAGGTAAACAGAGCAAAAGAATAAACTAAATTCAATCTATCTAGAAACTGAATTTGTGAAAAATTTCCTTGAATTTCTCAAGTAATGTTTTCCGGTTTCAGTAGTAGCCCCTCACTGCAGAAGGCATATATTTTGTTGATATAAATTAGAAACAAACAATCGGTTATATAACGATATTATGGATTATTTCCGTTCATTTATATAGGCGCTTGTTACTCTATATCTGATCAAATCTAAAATTAGTTTTACTATTAGGAGTTTGCTGGATAAAAGGCATGAGTTTCTCTGAAAATATAGATTCTTTAGAGATCCTAAACATGTTGTTTATGAAGGGCAAATAACAAGAAGTCCGGATTGAATGTTTCCAAGTATTTAACATGCAATCAAACACCTATTCACATTGTCCCTTAGAACCGAAACTATGGTTTTGCTGGGTCTGTTTTCCTTTTTAGAATCGGGTGTGGAAAATTGTTAAAAATTAGGGGTAACATTGTCACCAACTACAGCAATTACAGTTGATTAGTATTTAAAAATCAGAAATTCACAATGTCTTCCTAATTATATTGCAATTCTGTTTGTGAGATGGTGGAGAAGATTTGTAGCTTAGGTGGTTGATTTTGATGGAGTTTTGTTCTCTGAGCTGGAAGGTTTTGTAGTGAAGCTTTCATCGTCCCTCTGAACGACATCATCAGCACAAACTTCGGGTAGATCATGTCGTTCAGAGGGACGATGAAAGCTTCACTACAAAACCTTCCAGCTCAGAGAACAAAACTCTATCAATCGTGTTTGTACTTAAAATCATTAGTGAAACAAATTTCCACAAAAGCATTAAGATTATAATGGATCATATGTAGCCGTTGCGTTTAGCCTGAAAGTATGTTGAGTAGTAAGGAAGCTTGCGGAATCGCGCGCTTGAGGAAAGCTGGAAAAAAAGTAAAAGAGAACAAAATGAGCCAACAACTCAGTAGTAAGCGCGCAAAATTCACTTACTTTTAGCATCCAAAGCAATCAACAAAAATTCACTCCAACACAAGGGTAAAATTAAGACTATCTTATAATAGAAACTAGCAGTTAATAGATCAAGGTTTTTAACCCGTCACAGGTCGAAATGGTGAGTTTACCTGAAATCAATTTCATCAAAAGAGTTGATGAAATTAAGTAAATCAAATAAAGATGACTAGCTCTGTTTCAAAGATCAACATATTCCATTTCAATATGTAGTTCAGGCTCCATTGATTTTGTTCAATCTCCTATAATCAATCTTGTTTCATAATGACTACTACTACTACTACTAATAATAATAATAATAATAATAATAATACAACCCATACTACTGTGGTGGGTGCTACTGGTGTCAATAGGTATAAGTAGTGTGTAACATCAATAGAAAAAGAAATACCTGACCACAGAAAGTTAAAAAGATCGAAGAGAAGACAACGAGAACAAAGAGTAATTAGTGTAGAAACGAAGAAACAATCAATTGTGCGGTATATGATTGACATTTTGCAAATGAAGTATTTACTGTACGGTTCTTAGATTTTACATATAGATTCTGTAATTTTGTATTCGACTGAATTCGGTTGTCTCTACCTACGTTCTCGTTCACTTCACTATATTATCACTACTACTTATCGTAATGATAATTATAGTGTTAGGAAAAACAATTTTAATTCTGATTGATGGACTGAACTTTGTCAAGTAATATAAGTATGTGTGTGTTTAGCTGGTAGATGTAAGATGATGGATTTGATTGTTACACTTGCCGCTTTTTTTCGAAGTTTCATAAAATCTTCATTTCGATTATAGTCGGTTAATGATGATGATAATGTATAGTCTGAATAAACAGAGTCCAGTTATTTGATTATAAAATAGATATTTGACTTATGTTTAAACAACTTTCTTTCTGATTGTTACTCTTCAATCATAATTAACAGATGAAATGATTGATGAGTTGAATGTTTTTGGTTGTATATTAGATTGAACTTTGAAAAATATACACATCTTTTCTCATACATCATTTATGTATAAGAAAAAAACAAACAATAATCTTAGTAAAATTCACTTAGTATTGTTTGTTTAAATCTTCCCATTGATGTTTAGGACTGCAACTGGTCAGTCTCTTATTGGCATATGTGCATCCTATGCGTATAGCCTATAGCCACTATCTATCTTTGCTTACAATGCTTGTGAATTAAGACTATATCGAGGAAATATGCATAGTATGGTAATATGCCAATTAGAGACTGACCAGTTGCAGTCCTAACACATCGATGGGAAGATTCAAACAAACAATACTAAGTGAATTTAAACTTCACCCCATTATACGAGCAAGTGGCTATCAGGACTCAGCAGCTGAGTGGATAACGTGATGGCGTTTGAAGCGAAAGTTACTAGGTTCGAGTCTCAGAGTGAACATCAACTCTGAGATACGGGTACATCCAGCTGACGAGTCCCAAATAGGACAAAAGGCGAATCCTGGATTCCACTGCTAGTCACTATCCATCTTTGCTTACAGTAATCCTATCAATTAAAAATAAGTAGTTTTATGCTACCAATCATTACTACTAATATAACCCTATTTGCAAGTATACGAATTTAAATGTTCTTATATATACGTATATAATAACGATACTAATTAAGACTTACAAGAAATTATCATCCTATCCATTTCAAGAATCTCTTACATATTACACTCATTCTAATGTTTTCCAGTTAAAATTATGAATTCGAATGATGTTCTATTTAATAATCTTCGGCAGGAATAAAACGAAATCTTGAGGAGACTGATGTATCTGATCTGATTGGAACACATGTGAATCAATTCGACAATCAAGAATTTTATCATTGAATTCTTCATACCACAAATAGTATCTTTTGAGACTGAGATATACTTTTGTGGCCCTATATCTGTCTCCGATTGGATTATATGATGATTGTCATACACATATAAGCTATTCTCCTATATCTCATCGACTTAACTCGCGTTGGTTAATAACGGAATTAAAATAGATCGAATACGAGAAAAGATTTTGAATACGTATAGTTTGTGCACTCATTGGTTTGGACAGATAATCGGAGGAACGATGAGAAGCGAAATGACTCTTAGTGGAGAAGTCATATGAGCCAACTCGATTTAATTAAGTGTTAATTGATATTTATAGTCAGATAAATATAAGTTACAGACATGTAATGAATACGATAAGAAGTGTACACACATATGCTCACATTAAAACAATCAGGGTTGTTAAGCTAATAATTATCAAGATTAATACGTGACTCAAGAAGAATGGATAAATTGGCCTATTCAGAAGCTAGAATAGGTTATATGGGCTTAATATAGCAACCGACACTACAATAAATTTTTATTAATTGATATAGTTTTACATCAAACGAGATCATCTTCAATTTTAAAGGATCATTTTTCATATCAAATAGTTTTGCTGACATTATTTAACGATGATAGTGATCAGAATGGGTTTTTGGTGAATATTTAGTATTAGTATAGTTGAAAGCATGAGATGCGAGACTGGTAGTTCCTGGGTTCGAATATCGCGAGGTTGAGGTCGTGGATGTGCACTACTGAGAAGTTCAACAATAAGACGAAACGGCCGTCCAGTGCTTCCAGGTTTCCCATGATGATCTAGCTTCAATTAACTCATGATTTCATCTATGCAGATGATAGTAATGACAAATATGTACTTTAAAAACAGCTGCACATCATCTGCTAAACTTAACATTATATGAAACAAATAGTAAGGTGATAATTCTATGCCTTAAAAGTACATAAAAATGCTTCTAGGTTTTCCCTAGTGGTCTAGCTTCAATTGACTCATGCTTTCAACTATGAAAAACAAATACTTTAATAAACAAAATGAAAAATTCATTATTTGAACTCTTATTTACTAGACCATTTATACTAAATTAACAAATAAACAAAACTATCCTTGTTTTTTGTATTTATTATTCACACCATAATCGAGAAGAATGTCATATGTAACTACTTTAAATGATTCACTTCTATGGAATATTATTCAAAACAATTTCCTACTGAATATATTTTCCACCTATCATTTAAAACTATATACATATATTACTTTCCTGGTTAGAGGATTTGTTAGCAATGTGGTTTACTACGGGATAAAGTTGCTAACCACAAATCCAGCACTCCTCCTTTACCTGGACTTGGGACCGGCAGTGAATCTAGATAGGCTACAGACAGAAAAATAGATATATACATATAATATTGTTTTCAAATGATTCTAGAAACGAACTCAACTAAAAAATTACAAAACTGTCTAAACAGATTCAAGATGAAATCCATTTGGTGTTGTATACTTGAATCGTACCATTGATGGTTATGACTATAGCTGTTCAGGCTATTATTGGCATATGTGCATACTGTGAGGAATGCCCTGATATTGTTTTAAGTTACAAGTATTGTGAGCAAAGATGGATGGTGGCTAGCATCCTAATCGAGGATGCACGTTTCGTCCCATTTGGAGCTCTTCAGCTGGATGTACTCGCATTCCTACAATTAAAGAACATATGGAACTCACAACAACTGTCAACTAAATTCAAAGTCACAATCTTCAATACGAACGTCAAGACAGTTAGTTCTACTGTACGAAGCTCCATCGGCAAGAATGTACAAGTATTTATAGACAGTTGTTTAAGCAAAATACTCATCATTCACTGGACGGATATTATCAGTAACAGCGTTTTATGGGAGAGGACAAACCAGCAGGTTCCAGCTGAAGATGAAATTAGGAAAAGACGTTGGGAGTGGATAGGACATACATTGAGGAAATCACCAAACTGCATCACGAGGCAATTGCTAACTTGAAATGGTGAAGGGAAGTGGAAAAGAGGAAGGCCAAAGAACGCATTACGACAGAAGATTGAAGCGGATATGAAAAGTGTGAACAGCAACTGGAAAGAACTGGAATGGAAGGCTCAGGACAGAGTTGGATGGAGAATGCTGGTGGATGGCTTATGCTCTCCCACGAGAGTTAACAGGTGCAAGTAGGTAAGTAAGTTAGCTAACATGTCAACTAACCCCTAACCAGGAACATTGTGAAGACTCAAAATAAAGCGTTTTTATTGTAATGAGAGTTCAATAAAACGAATATTTCATAGTCCAATAAATGGTTTGATATATTATTGTTATTTTGATGTGCATGCTAAAAAACCTGTAGAAGACTTCACCAGATTCATTAACTATTTATAATTTTATGCTTCTCTTTTTACCATAAACTATTCATTAACAATAACTGTTTCCCAATTGGCTAACAATAATTTGAAGATGGTTTTGTGAAGATTTCAATAATTTAATAGTTGAATTCAATCCCACGGGGTGGGGTCGTGAATGCTCACTGCTGAGCAGTCCCGTACTAGAACAAAACGGCCTTCCAGTGCTTCATTTGACTCCTGAATTCAACTAATAAATGATCAAAATTTGTCACAGTCTATTTAAGAATCACTAAAGTTTATCTCCATGCATGATCCTTTTTGATATCTTACTTACTTACTTACGCCTGTTACCCCTCGTGGAGAAGCATAGTCCGCACACTAGTATTCTCTGTCCAACCGTATCTTAGGCAATCCTTTCTAGTTTTTTTCCAGTTAACATTCAACCTTTTCATATCTGCTTCTATTGCCTGACGTAATGTGTTCTTTAGCCTTCCACTTTTCCTATTCTCTTCACAATTCCAAGTTAGGGTTTGCCTATTGATTCACTTTGGTGATTTCCTCAATGAATGTTCGATCCACTTCCAACGTCTTTTCCTAATCTCCTCTTCAGTTGGAACCTGCTAGTTTGTCCTCTCCCATAAAACGCTGTTACTGATAGTATCCGGTCAATGGATGTTAAGTATTTTTTGTGTAAACAACTGTTTATAAATACTTATATCTTCTTGACGAAGATATCACTATATCTATAATTATTTTAAGAAATAATGCTTGTTTTCTTTACAATCAAAAAAGAAAAGCCAACCTATCATCAAAAATATAATAATCCATTCTTTTTTTTCTTTTCTTTTCTTCTCATTTTTCTTTTCTTTTAGGTTATTGCTGCTGAAGGTGAAGAAAAATCATCAGTTGCATTAAAACAAGCTGCTGATGTTATTAAAACATCACCATTTGCATTACAATTACGTTATTTACAAACATTAAGTGCAATTTCAGCTGAAAAAAATTCTACTATAATATTTCCTTTACCAATTGATATGTTAGTTAATTTATTTCATCGATAAAATGACATAAATAAACAATAACAAAAAAGAAAAAAAGAAAAACACAAAAAGAAAAACAAAAAAGGGAAAAAAACAAACATTCAGATACATCATAATACTTCTCTTGTATGAAATTTAAAATTTTTTTTTAAAAAAAAAAGAGAAAAAACGAAAGAAATAAGCATTTTCTTATGCGAAATTCTGTAAACAATCAATTTAATAAATAAATATTTATTTTAAATTTTGAAAAAAAATTTGCGCGCAAAATTTGAATATAATACAGTAGTATATATATATATATATATATATATATATATATATATATATATAATGTATTTAATATTGAATAATGGATAGGTACTAACGTTACACCATCAAGCTTGCATTCATGAAATGTGAGATCAATATATATATTTTTTCGAAAGCTCTATCAAAAGTAATGATTGTCCTAGAAACTCTTCTAGAAGGTACTCATTGTTTGAACAAAACATCTTCCTATATATATATATATATATATATATATATATATATATATATACACGATTGTACAGTTTGATATTAAATTTGTTGAAATGAGACCCATTCGCTGAAGATCGAGTTTCAATGGGAATTATATGTCAATAATAGATTACCTTATTTATGTGATGGAAAATTATATCATTATTAATTGTTTACTGTTTAGATATTCTCTATTTATGGTGAATCTATCCCTATGGTTGATAATAAGGTTTGTTTAACTGTTAATACAAAAATTACAATATAATGCACCTTTTGGATGTTTGCAAACTGTTATATATATGTACTCTTTGTTCTTCATTCTGTTTTCTTTTCCTAAGGTGTATATATATATATATGTATGTGTATGTGTATGTGCACGTGCGTGTGTATATGCATTTGATCTGTACTCTTAACAGCGGTAACATTGTATTGACTACAGAATTATTATTATTTTAATTGATGAATGAGAGGGGTCGCAAATTATTTTAATCCAAATGTAGGTAATTTTTTTTGTTTCTATAATCTAAGTAATTATAAAATTAAACATGCTAAAAACTTATTGTTTCCATAGTTTAATTCATACAAGTAGTAACCAAAATACTGGTTTGTTTGTTCGTTCGTTTGTTCGTTTGTTTTTTTGTTTTGTTTTGAAAACCTAAATCATCAAACATCCGATCTAGTCCTAACATCGGATCTGGAACTTGAATATTTACTTTTTTTTTCTTTTTATTGTTGAATAATCGAATAAAGTTACATCATTCAATGTTAATTTGTTTTGTTTTTCTAAAATCTCATGATGATTTCATCAAGTTTGCTTTGATGTAGTAAAATTGATCAACTGCTGCTTGTTCAATCATTCAATGATAATAGTAATAGTAGTAATATTACTATTACTATTATTATTATTACTGTTTTTTTTTTGATTTCATGAAAAAATAAAAAAAATTTATCATTTATTCTCTTTTTAAATACTACTATATAAACAAGTACAGTGAGACATAACAACAACAAAAAATGGATAAGCCCATCAATGTTTATCTATACTGAGTTCTCATATTTCTTTGAAAGCCTGACTTATTTTTCATTTTGAATTAGTTACCGTATTTTTAAAAAAAAAAAATAATTGACAAAGTACTTTTGTTTATTCAATTTTAAATATTCTATTTCTATAAGAATTTTGAATAGATTTTTATGTTGCTGAGCATGTGTACAATTGGCTTTGTCTCTGTCTCTCTTGATGTATCTGAACGTATTATTATTACGTTTAGGTATTCATGTTATAGTAATTCGTCTGTACTTTTTTTTTCTTTTTATGGAAAGTGAACACATTATAATGTTTGGATTAATAAATGAGATAATGAAAGAAATAAACAAATAAAGAATTTCTTTAACTTAGTATTGTTTGTTTAAATTTTCTCATTATTGTTTTTAGGACTGCAACTGGTCAATCTCTAATTGGCATATGTGCATATTGTGCGGAATACCTCGATATAACCTTAATTCACAAGCATTGTAAGCAAAGACGGATAGTGGCTAGCAGTGGAATACAGGACTCGTCAGCTGGATGTACCTGCATCTCAGAGTTGATGTTCATTCTGAGACTCGAACCCAGTACTTTTCGCTTCAAACGCCATCACGTTATCCACTCGGCAATTGAGTCCTGATAGCCACTTGCTTGTGCAAGTGGCTATTTCTTAATATCCCAAAAAAACTGATGTTGCCACACTTCCTCTTAACACAATATGATAGGAAATGGATACAAGATGAAATAAAGGTGTAAAAGAGGGAAATATGTTGGCTGTGAGACAATTATCTATTAATATTATTAGAATATGGTTTAATGAGATCATAAACTTATTAAAGTTGGAAATGTAGATCATTTAGTGTTAGCAACAATGGTCTGAAGGATAAATACTTGTTGAGAGAAATGCTTGTCCTGAGTTTGATCTATTTTGTTTGCTCACTACTGAGTAGCTCCATTATAGAGCTCAACAAATGTTCATTGCTTTATGCATTTCCGTGATTATTTAACTAAGGTCAATTCCTAAGATTAACTTAAAAATTTAACAAACGTCACCCCCCCCTCAACTCTATATAGTATTAAATAGTACACGTGGTGGATGGCAAACAAGAGAGTTAAATGTATCTAAAGGAGCTGCATTTGTTGTCATTAAAGAAAAAACATTTTTCTCATATTAGGGTTTAGTACATTGTCCATTATAAAAACTGAAACTCCCGTGTTACACACATCAAGATTGCACTAATGATGACTAAACGTAATGAGGGAATAATTTCTCAAAGCTTACGTTTAACTGTATATTGTATTTTGCCCATTTAACTTTCAGAAGTTGAGAATAATTGACATTTAACACTAGGTCTTTAATATAATATTTCTTCAAACTTCGGTTTGGCGATCCGAATGTTATAACAAATTCCCCATATATAAAGACTGATATCAATAATGGCGTTCATAAACCAATATTTAGTAAAATGAATTTGATAATAATCATTAATTTGTATGAACCATCGAATAGTAGCTGAGTTACAGCTACTCAAATGATATATACGATATATAATACAGATATCTGTATTACTTTGAATTAAATATACCAACTGTTATAGGGTGGATAAACTACATGAAGCAGTTAAGCTTAGGAAGCTTGACTAGTACAATTCTGGATTCGTTAGCTCAATGTTATCACAGCCAAGTATCAATCTTTACAGTAGAACTCGAACTTTAATTCAAACCGCTAAACACTATCTACTGAATCTTAGTTCTGAATTTCATTGATACCCACAATATTATCTATTCTATTAAAATTGTGAGAAAATGGCAATCCACAATCTGCATATAATTCCCATTGAAACATTAAAATTAAAAAGACGAAGTTCAGCGAAGGGATCTCTTTTCAACAAATTTATTATCAATCGTATATATATGAAAATGTTTTATTAAAGTACTAATTCCGTGAGCATATATGAACGCTTATGACCAAGATGACGTAATAGAAAGATTATAATACTAGATTACGTAATACGAGTAATAACAATAGATTTAGTGAATATAATAAGGTGATTAAAATGAATAAAATGTTTTTGTTACAATAATTAAAGATCATTAAAAGTCATAGAGTTTGAATGGTTTGAATAATTTATTTGGAGAACTACGAATACCATCATCCAGAAGATACAAGTGTTTATTACCACTTGTTTACGCAAGATACTTCGGATCCATTAGCCAGACACTATCAGTGTGTTGTTACACACTGTTTGAGACAACAAACCAGATTCCAGTGGAGGAAGAAATCAAGAAGAAGCGCTGAAAGTGAATTGGACACACAATGAGGAAATCACCCAACCGCGTCACAAGGCAAGTACTCACATAGAATCCTGAAGGTCAAAGGAGAAGAGGAAGACCCAAGAACAAATTTCACTGAGAAACGGAGACAAACATGAGAAGAATGAACAAAAGTTGGATAGAACTAGAAGGGAAGGTGGAGGACAGAGTGGGTTTGAGAATGTTGGTGGGTGGCCTATGCTCGATCGAGAGTAACAGGCGTAAGTAAGTAATTAAAGGTCATAGAGGTGTAAAAATAAATATAGTGATATGATGAGTATTCATGAATAGAATAATGAAAATATAGGACATAAGTAAAGGGGAATGCAGTAATAATAGTAATAGTATAATAATAATATTAAGGCCATGGTAACGATAATGATAAGATGTACTTCCTTTGTACGCATAGTTCTGGTTTGAGCCCATGGATGGTAAGAGCTTCGGCTATTTTTTTAAGGAGTTTGATACGAAGAAATCTAGGAAGATTTGAATGAATCATATAAACAATCTCAAAATCAGACTGTGGATCCGTAGATCAGGTGTTCAAGTATAGAACCCCTAACTACTTTCCTTTCACCCTTGTAGAACCAAACTGGGATATGTTCTCGTATCCGAGTTGAAAGCGAGCGCTAGCTACAGCCGATGTACCTTGCTCCACAAGAGCAGGTGAACTGGTAGATGCACATAGAGGTGACCAGATGCGGAAGCTTATCTTTTATGGATACAGAAAATAAGTTCTTACTAGTGAAGGTCATTCGCAGTTTAGCAGCATTAAATGACCTTTTAATCGTTGTTGTTAAACGATTTTTAATTACATCTGAAGTTCAATCACCTTTATATTCCAGACTTATATAAAAATTTTTTCTTTGGGACGGAACAACTAAGTTTCCTGTCGAAGCTACTTCTATTTATATTCTTCCCTATGAACCGGTCTCACTTACTTACTTGCTTACTTACTTACGCCTGTCACCCCTCGTCGAGGAGCATAAACCGCATACCAGCATTCTCCATCCAACTCTGTCCTGAGCCCCCCTTTCCAGATCTTTCCATTTAAAATTCACCCTTTTCACATCCGCTTCAATCTCCCGGCGTAATGTGTTCATTAGCCTTCCACTTTTCCGCTTACCCTCACCATTTCAAGTTAGGGATTGAGTCGTGATGCACATCGGTGATTTCCTCAATGTAT